CAACCGGATCAACCGCCGGTTGAACCGGCCAACCGGGAAACCGCCGGTTGATCCGGCCAACCGAGAAACCGCCGGCTGAACCGGAGGTTTCCCGGTTGCCCGGTTCAACCGACCAACCGGGCAACCGGGACAACCGGCAACCGGACACATCCGGTTGAACCGACTCGTCTCGGTTAGTCGGCCGGCCGGATACTCCAGATCGGACGGTTGAGTCTGGTGGACCCAGTCACTATAGGCAGTGGACTTCTGGGATGCCTGGGTCACATGAACCGATTTTTTGGGGATGTCAAACCTATATTGGAGGTATTCACTCACAGCCCAAAGATCAGAACATGAGAGCAAGCAAGAGCAAGGGAGTTGTTGAGTGGGCAAACATAAATGCCCCCTCAAGACTGGTGAACTAGGACATCCTAGGCCCTTCTCCTATCGCCTTCACGGGGTGAATTTTGGTTGGCTCTTTTGGCGGACCTGTCCGGCTTTCATCATGCTAGAATTCCTGGATGTGCTTCCGGGAACTTCCCGAATCACTGCGCTACCTGGTCCTACTCCTACACCACAATGTGACAAGACTGAGCTGAGATTTCTAGATCTTCCATCGCTGGGCTGTTTGGGTGCCAGCGACAGCATGCCACAGCCACTTGTTGTTCTTACTTTTAGTGGGTATCCGCTAGAAAGAAAACACGGCCAAAATGGAATGTTGGGTGAAGGTTACATTATGAACACCCCCGAAAGGTTACGCACCCAGTTGTCGCTTGAAACGGGCAATTGGGTGAGTCACAGTGGCTGGTGGTCACCCGTATGCAGCCACCAGTGTATCCCTCGTATGCAGCTAGTTCACCACAGATTGTTTAGTTTTTGTATGTTTTGCTTTCTTGTTATCGATGTATGCGGCAGGTCATTGAATTGCATTTGCTGTGTAGAAGGATGAACCCTCCGGAAATACCTCAAGCTGTATGAAGCTGAAAAGGTGTGAGAACGAATTCTCCAAAGCAAACACTGCCTTTGTCAAGAATGCGCCCATCCTGGAATCCTCGATTTTGCCACGGGGAGACGTCGGGGGAGACGGAGACGGCGGGCGACTGTATCATCCGGCGCTAAGGAAGCAACTCAGTGGCTTCTCACGGGCTGGGAGCTCCAGATCGTACCTTGAGCTGATAGGTGGGGTTGTTGGATGGCCCAACTGCTTTTTGAAGAATGCAGTGTGCTCAAGTAACAACCCCGTTTTTTGATTCTTGTGTTCAGGGATCCCAGTCAGGTCTATAGTTTTAATATATTTAATGTGTATACATATATATATATACATGTTTCAACGAGTTAGGGGTGCTGTCCCACAGGCGATTGTGGGACAACATCAGCAGGAAAACCAGCTTGGTTGAATCAGGACCTGCTCAGCTGATCGGTTTGTTTTGAATCTTTCCAAGGATGATTCATCCTCTTCTGTTTGTTTTTCTATTTTTATTTTTAAGTTTTTTTAGTTTTCTATGTTTGTTTCCCATCGGGATCCAGTCGTACCTTCTCAGAAGGTACGACTGGACCCTCCTGGCACCTACACAACAGTGTCTCCCTTCTCACCTGCTGAGGTTCAGAAGGTACCTGGATCCCTAAACCCCTTGTGATCGACCAGGTGACCGGTGTTTCTCGGCCGGACCAGCGACGCTCGACACTCGAAGTGAGGTTGCGCGTGGGCCGCTCCTTTGCCCGCTCCTCGACCTCGGGATGGCTGGGACAGGCAGGGTCCAAAGCGCTTTGGTGTGTTCGACGTGTTCTGATTTGCGATATGACCGGCAAAAAGCGTTCAGACATGTTCACACAATATGGATCATATGGGGAACATCTGGCGAACGCTCCACCCTTTTTAGCGTTCTTTTTGCCTTTGTCACCCCTACCAGCTTGGCCAACTGTGGAGCCATCTGGCTGCTGACCCAAAAAAATCATCCAGAATGGTTTTACTCATTTGGTGGAGGTTTGATCAAGCTCAGAACCGTCTACCACTCCATCTGCCCAAAAGCAGAAAAATCCATCCGGGTCCGTCGCGGCTCGGGCTCGGGCTCGCGGCCATGCGCGCATGGCCGCGTCGGGACCGGAGGGTTGGACGGCCCGTCGGCCCGTCGGCCCGTTGTCCGGGTCGCTGGAGGGACAAGTCCCAAGTTGGGCCATGACGTAGTTGGCCAATTGTCACCTGATGGATCAAGGGTCTACTTTAGGTGGTCATGGATATATGAAACGCGCATTGATATGGACATGACTCCAAAAAATAGATCGCCATTGGCCACAGATGAGAATGAGAGCCACGAGGAGGAAAACCAAAGCGTACCCTCATGAGCCCTATGGCTTCCTGAGTGACAATCATCAACCACAGCGTGGTCATGATCACGGTGAGGTCACTGTTTGCAAACACTTGAAGGACAGACACGCTCAAATTCGCTAAAGCTTCAGTATTGAGCCATTGCAACATGTTCAGATGTGCTTTTCGTTGGCCATCCGCCACTGGGGAGGGGGATGGCCCCTGCGATAAACAAACTCCTAGAAACCCAGGGTGACACACACGCACACACTCTGACATTCTGACATTGGTTTCAGTTAACTCAATTCCCAGGAAAAAAGGCGATGGAACCGAAAGGTGAAAGGGTCGGAGTACTTGAAGATGTTTCAAAAATTGTTTTTGCACATCTGCAGTGCAAGAACGCGCGGCAGCTGAAAGCGACGGAAAGGAAAATCTGGTGAAGGAAACCTGTTTTGTGGGAAAGTAGCATGGACAACCACCATGAATCAAATTGAAAGTGGAAAAGCTTGAGCAACAGTTCGGTGCAGGTACGTCGGCAAGCGTCCTTGCCGATATCAGCACAACCTGAAGAGCCTCTTTGTTAGATGCCCTCTCTTCAGGTGTGGGGCATCCCCCTGCGACTTGAAAGTTGAGGAAAAACAGAAAGTCTTATAGTTACAGAGGTTGACACACACACACACAGAACGCCGATATCGGCGCTCTGGAGGAACTTATATACAATACTAATCACCTAAAAAGCCTTAGAAAGAAAGAAAAGAAAGACAGAAAGGAAAACGCAAAGGAAAGAGAGACAGATAGGTGTAGTGACAAGGCCCACTAGTTACGAAACCTGCTAGTTACTGAGTACTTAGCCGCATGAATTAAATGCACTAGTTAAGTTAGCGAGCGGGACATACGTCTTAAACCGCCCGGGTAGCTAGGAGTAGAAAAGGAGAAACAGAAGGAAAGGTACCGACACACAAGCGTGTCGAGTACCATTTCCTTCTGTTACCCTAGATAGCGGGTGGGATAAAAGTACGGATTAGGGTGCAAGGTGGGTGTGTGTGTGTGTGCGGAAGTGCATGCATGGAAGTGAGTCGCATTTTGGTGGTTGGAGTTTCCGTGAAGCCCGGCGGCATAGGTGGCAGTTAATACAGTGGTGAAACAAAGTCCGTGAAGAGAATCCAAGGTATGGTGGAAGCGGTGAAATCAGTTACACGAATTCCGGAATGAAAACGGCGCCTCCTTGCGGAGGATCACACCCAGCACCCAAGTGGGACGACTGAGCGAGTCACACTCTGACATTGGTTTTCAGTTAACTCAATTCCCAGGAAAAAAGGCGATGGAACCGAAAGGTGAAAGGGTCGGAGTACTTGAAGATGTTTCAAAAATGTTTTTTGCACATCTGCAGTGCAAGAACGCGCGGCAGCTGAAAGCGACGGAAAGGAAAATCTGGTGAAGGAAACCTGTTTTGTGGGAAAGTAGCATGGACAACCACCATGAATCAAATTGAAAGTGGAAAAGCTTGAGCAACAGTTCGGTGCAGGTACGTCGGCAAGCGTCCTTGCCGATATCAGCACAACCTGAAGAGCCTCTTTGTTAGATGCCCTCTCTTCAGGTGTGGGGCATCCCCCTGCGACTTGAAAGTTGAGGAAAAAACAGAAAGTCTTATAGTTACAGAGGTTGACACACACACACCGCATCCAAAAGCTTCAAGCCCTTCAGCTTCGCCGAGCTGGGCACCTGGCCTCTTCCGCCGTTCCCCGGCGCCAGACGGACGATGCGACGTCTGGGATCATGGCCGCCGCTGGGCGATGCCGACGCAGTCGGGCGCTGTGCGTAGTCTGGAAGTCGGAACGAAATACTTGGGATGATTGACAACCCACTGACTAAGAATGTATCAAGCGAGTTGAAAGCACCAACCAGCATGTGGCACGGCCCAGCCAAAAAATATATCTATACTGTATATATATATATATAAAGAAACAAACGAACAAACAAACAAACACACCTGCGGATGATTTCCAGTTACTCCCTTCTGGGGCCATGCAAGTTTGTTCGGGGAAAGTGTGAATGCTTGCAACTCGCACATTCTAATTACCTGAATGCTTCTCATAATGAATGGCATGTTTCAGGTGGTTACTCGGATCGCACGTCACTTGATGTGGAGGGATCCGTGTCTACGTGACTGGTCCAAGGGAGCTGACTGTTTGGAGGCTCGTCCATTTTGTATGCAACTGGGCCAAGAGGTTGCTTTGTGTGAAATGCCGGGCCAAAGCACATGATAGTGATAGGTCATCTCAGCAAGTCTTGTTCTGGCCTGGTCGTCGCTCATGCTTTTTTTTTGGGTGTGTGTGACGAAAAACATGAAATGAACCAGGCCTGTAAGGGACAAACCTCCCACATCACGCGATGTAGTCTGAGGCGAAATCGGCGCGCAGACAAGCCCCATGTTGTTGATGCAATATGATGCAATGGTCCTCTGAGGACTTCGTGAAGCGAGACAGGGCCAAAGCCACGGTCAAGGATCCCAACGAGACTTCCGAGCCGCTGGGGTCCATCACTGGCTGGTGCGATTCGTTTCCGGCGCGACGGCTTTCGGGTCGCCTGGAAGGGCATGGCCCATGAAACAAGGGGGCCATTCGGAGTTGGGTTCCCGGGAGTTTCCGTTCACCCCTTAGCTATAGATAAAGCAGGGGGTGAGATGAGGTGTCAGTTTTCCAGCAAAGTCCGGGAAGGATTTTGGGTCTCATGTGTTTCTTCGACCTGCAAGTGACTCAGTTTTTGAACAATCTTTTGTATGTGTGCATGGTACCTATATATGACAAGTGCTGCACTTATGAACGGTATGAATGGGAAGAACACCACGAAAAAAAAAAAAAAAAAAAAAACAACCCCAACCTTCGTCATGTTTTTCGCGTCATGGCATGGCCAGGCCGGTTGCACAAGAGGTTGTAGCCCAGGGTTGGCCGTCCAGTGTTTCAATAAGTGAGTACCATGTGAGGATCATTCCTCATCCAACAAACCTTGTTGAAGATGTGGCATATTGGGGGCATCATCCGGGACGCCTGTGGCGCTCGGTACTGAACGCGTGTGAGCGCCCAAGCCAGCCATCAGGAAGTACTTGGAGAGGATCCTCTTGAAGAGCAAGATCTACCAAGGTTGGGTTGTTTGGGCAGTCAGGGTGCGCACCTGCAAGGCCAGGATGATATCTCGTTTAGATCCGCAGGGGTAGCGAACATGGCATACTGCAATAGCAAACATGGCTCAGCGATTCTGTCCATCATCAAACCTTGGGGGTCAATTCTGGTGGCAAAAGACTGATTGCAGACATCTCTGGAACCCAGTGCATGTGCTCTAGCCGGAGCAACGATGTTGGATGTGCTCTATCCGCCCGGTGGATGTGGATGGAAGATCTTGCGTTCACGGACATGTGTACCGTCTACCGCTAAACTTGACCAGGTGAGGGGCACAGAATCAAGGTCAATGGCAGCCTGTCTACCAGGAGTCACAAAGGGGTGGTGTTTAGTCCCTAAATGAGTGGATCATGGACACCCCTAACCTCCATTAAGCACCCCTTCTTGATTGCTGGTATACCCTTGTAGTTATGTACGTATTGATTGCCAACACATAAAACAAACTCTACTTGCCCATAGGCTACTGGGCGTGTGATCGCTAGGTGAAGGTTTGCGTCGGATCCTGGGCGTGTTCCAGTATGAGCAGCTGAAGCCTGGCCAGATTGCTACAGACCTTAAGGTTGTGAAGGCTTGGCTCCAAGACGCGCAGACGTAGGAATTACACCCCAGCAGACTCGCATGGAACCTGAGAATTCACCCGTGGAAGACAGAAGACGATTTTCCTTCACAACCCAGCGATTTTCAGGTTCCATGTTAATCTTCCAGGGCGTAAAAATCACAGCCCGGTGGCCTCCACAAAGGCAGACTATCACCAGCCTAGCCGGGCACAGCCTTCGCAGCGTTGCCATGACATGTTTTGGCAAGAATGAGGGTTGCTAATGGTTTTGGTGTGCATAGTCATATTGAACATTGTGACACTATACCACAGACACGCCAAGACGATCTGCAAGATGCCTGGGTCTTTTATTCAATGTCACTGGGCCAGCAGATGGAATATGAAGCGATCTAAGAACAACATGCAGTACTATTGAACCTGCATTCGTTCAGTATTTTTGGACAACCAACTTGGGTTGAGTTTTGTGTGTGGGACGGTCTTGCACTGTTTGCTATGGCCCAGTTGGGGCATCGCGGCGGCTTTGCGTTCAACTCAGCGAAGGTTACGGTTATATATCACGAAAGGTAGCTTGAGCTACCTGAGTTCTCCTTGCTTTAGCAAAAATGTATTACAATCAGGAGTTGGGATTGTGCATTGAATTTGGTCCTGTAAGAGTTGATTCTGTTCGTCGGGGGGGGGGGCCCCCCCCCCCCCCCGCCAAAACCCCCCCCCGCCGGTTCACGCCGTCGTGGACTTCTACCAGGGTTACTTGTGATTGCCTGCTACCTTTCGTTCACCCCCTCCTCTCTCAAGTGTATAGGCAGACGTGTCGGCCAGAATCAGGAGTCAGACTGGGTGTTATTGAAGATTGTTGCAGAATTCCCTAACCAGACACTAAACCGTTCTATCCCGCTTCCTTCCCGCGTCATTTATATCCCGCGTCTTGCGAGGAATGCGATGATGATGGCCAACGTCGTTGCGGAGTGCAAGGACCAATTCATTCCTAGGCCCTCCCAGCAGGCTCTGCCCTTGAGCCTCACCATCATATGGCCCAATGCCAGCAAGATGGTGAGAAGATTTTGGGGCGGGTGTGCAGTTCGTGCGAGTGATACCCCAGTCCCACTTGCCACTTCCAGTATTGGAAGATCTTCCAGTGATAGTGATAATCCATGATAATCCAACAACATTCATCAGAAATCATTGCAACTGTTGGGGACCCGGATCCATTGGACCCACCATTCAGACCAATTCGGGCTCCAAGCAGTTCGGCTGAATCAGACCTTGACCGTCCAGGTGCCAGACCTGGAAGCACGTCTTCACCGCCCGCGCGCGCGCCGGCAGGAGCGGGGCCTCTTCCCAGGGACGCCCCCAGGGTCCTTCAAGGAGCAATGCAAGACGATCCACCAGCTGACGCTTGGAGAAACCTCGAAGTGGGAAAGACATGTTCAGAATCCTTGAGCGTGAGCTCGTGGGACCGGTTGTGAGCTTGTGCGGTTCTGGCGGTGGGTCTGGGGGGTTTTGCACGTGATGCTGGACAAGGCACATGGCACCCCTGGCACCCCCGGTTCGCACCACTGCACACGAATATGTAGCTTGGCCCTTGTTCAGCTGCAAATAGTTCTGGGTTCATGTCCCTTGCGGCTTCCATGGTTTTTGGAGTCGGCTGATGCATCTCAAACCGGTATGGAGGGGTCGCCGATGCTGGTGGATCCCGGAGTCCAGGGCGAAGCCACCGCGACCACCGGCTACACGTTGGCGTGCCACGTGCTGCGACCCTCCCTGGAAGACCCAGCACGCACCCATCAAAAGCCTAGCCGCCTAGCCATGTGGCTTTGGGTGCAGATGTCGGCCCATTATACGAACGGTCAGAGACTCAGGGCCTGGGAGCATCGGCCTAAACTTTGGGAACTGCTCCATAGGAAGCATGCTGTTGCTGGTTTATTTGGCAGTAGAGGGCAAACAGATTTGGTTGGCTTGCGCTGCCCGAGGCCCGCGCGCGCACACACTTGGGAACGGTGCTCCGTAGAGCGTGGGTTCAGGCTATTCGCGGTGAGCATTAGCACTTTAGTGTTACTGCAGTTTAGACCTTGACTAAAGGAAATTGCTGAGTCGGTCGAACAGAAGGTTTCAACATGGGTGAGACGTGAAAGGTTGCTAAAAAAATGTGCAGGTACGTGAGAGTGATCAGCTCTCATTTCCCGTGTGTCAGGTAGCTTAGTTGGACATGGTCCCTGAACGCACGCCATGTCCCCCTGCAACTGTACAATCTAAAAGTCTGCCAGTTAGGATGAAAGGAATGGAATAGGTTAGAGTCCCTTGGAACGGGAGTTGACACACACAAGAAGCCGAAACAGCGCAGAGCAAGGGTGCATATAAGCTCCTTTTTCTGGAGGGCCGCAACGCTGCAGCACAATGTTCTTTGGAGTGACCTTTTGTCACGTATAGCTGTACCAATGCTGGTGATGTAAGTTCTGCCATGTGCGGTGGGTAGGAGTACAGTGTGTGATGCCTGGATTGCAAGCCTGATAAGCGCAAGCGGTAGCTTCCTGCTGATTGTATGTCTCGGATCTGCCAGGGATGGGTGGGGAGTTGGAAGGTGACGGTTCTGGTCTGTGGATTGATGAGAAAGCACAGAAGATGGTCATCAACACTCATTGAGAAAAACACCTGTACCTCAAGCTGGCGCCAACTAATGGAATTTCATCTACTTTGACTACTTTGTGGCCTACTCTGCACCAACATGAGGATTGAATGTGCAAGAGGTCCAACCGACCAAACTGCATCCCCTCCCAAGCAAGAGCTGGAAAAAGGTCACCCCTCCCTGCAGCCTGCTTCCGGGCTGCTCTTGGGGATCTGGCCGCCATGAGGAAGCGTTTGGCGCGGCTCATCCATACAGCAGTGCAGAACTGGCACTTTACCTTCAAGCTCCTTGACGCGAACCGAGTGGCGCTGTAGACAGCTGTAGATGTCGAAGTTGGAAGGTCCGCAGTTCCTGACGGTTTCTGTCAACACCCAACACATTTTGCCACTGGTGGGTTTCGCAGCATGTCAGCTGGAGTCAGACTTTGTGGTAGCTGGAGTCAGAAAGCCAGTCCATGTTGTCCACAAAGGGTCCAGTCAATGAGGAACCCATAGGTTTAGCGCATGTCCACAGGTAGGACCCCCAGCTCTACGAGTCTATCGTTGGATGAGTCGGGCTCAGTGGCACTCCTTCTATCTCAGGCTGCTGAATGCACCGGGCCGGGCCCCTGCTGAACCTCAAGAGGAAAAGCTCCAGCGGGTGCAGGAGTGCCTTAGACCGAAGCTGCAGAATCCACGCATCGTTCGGCCAAGTCACCTCGCACAAGTCACGGCACGGCCACATCTAGCTAGCCAGCAAGGACCAAAATGGGGCAACTGAAGCAGTCCGCGGAGCATTTCTTCGACTGGTTGAATGTTCTTTGAGTACTCGGGCTTGGGGTTTCAGATGGCACCCCTGAGCTGTATTCAACAGGAACGAGACCTGGCTCCCCGCATGTGGCATTGGCCACGCGTAGACAGAAGCACTCACACTCCCATCAGCCTCTTTTTTCCTCCTTTCTCCTCATCTTCATGATAATCATAGAATATCATAGAGCAATTCTAATTAACTGCGCATTTAGGCTACACCAATTAGCCAGCCTTGGCATGCCTCCTTCCATCTCCTTCCTCTCTTCTCACCGCTCCTTCACCCCGTCACCCAGGTTTTGGAGCGAAGGCCTTTGGCGCCCGCAAGACCTGCGCCTGGCCGAGGCCCCGACGTCGATCGCCCTGGATCGCCCCGGCGTCGAGCGCTCGGTCGCGCCCCGTCGTCGGCCGTGCGAGGGCACCGAAGAGCGCGGCGAGCGGCGGCCGCGGTATGACCTGCACTTCGATCTCAAACACCTCCAGGGCCGCTGGTCGACCAGGAGATTTCAGCGGGGGGACAAAGGGACAAGGGCGGAAGGCGGCGCCCTGGGCGACTGGAGCGACAGAAGTGGGGTGAAGGTAAATACAAGGGTTGAGTGACTGGTCACGGTTGAATACATCTTTGTTTGGTGCCACTGGTCATTGCCAAGTTTGCCTGGCTCATTCGCCATGACAAGGGACACTGATACTGTTATAGTTATCCTGAAGCTACCCACTCTAGAGAAGGATGACCAGACGAACGGTGCCACCGAACATGCTGGGAGTCGAACGGTGCCGAACGGATTCGCTTCACCGGGGGCCTTGGTGCAGTGTCTCTCGCTGTCTGGCGGCCGCCTTCCAACAATTCCAGAGTGAACATGGCCTCCAAATAGATTACAGCCCAGAGCACAGCTGTTTGCTTATAGTCGTCCCCAAATAGATAGAAAAACAGATCCCCACTCAAAATGTATTGGAGACCGTTTCTATTTCTGTGGAGATCATTTTCAGCTTTTTGGGGGGTCCAACCGGCTCGTGGGTTCTTTGGCCCGACCAGCTTGTGGTTTGATTTGTGGCCCGAACTCCGTGGGTGAAGCGTGCTTGGCAAAGGGCACTGTTTGACTTGTTGTCCACGTTTCGTTGGATGGGCGGGGGCTCCAAGGCAGGCGGGTCCCCGAAGCCGCCCGAAGCTCAAGTGGCATTCATCTTCTTTTTCTTGGGGGGTGTAGTCCAATCCATTCCCAGAGTTGACACCGAGAGTACGGAGAGCTGGTCGGAGGGTGCTGCCAATCCGAAGCGCAGGAAGCCTGCTGGGACATTGCCCCATCAGCAACATGGGCAACCTTGATGAAAGGAAGGGGCCGTCAGGAAGGGCATTGAAGAGAAGGCACCTGTCTAGCGCGTGTGACTAATTAGATTCAGGTTGAACAGAGGATGATGTTTTTCCTTCTTGCTCGCACGTGAACACATAGAAACCCCGCTCGGAGCATGTTTTGCAGATGAATTCCGCAGGCACACAATGCACAACATTGGTGCCCAGAGCGTCCTTTAGTCGATGTCAATGTGGCGGAACACGGGTATGATATGGTATGATGTTTGCCCAGTCAGTGCATCACCCGCAAAATCATGTTGATCCTTTTTGTGGGATTGGCTTCCCACCTGAGAAGAGGTTAGCCGCCTCTATTTTTCAATGTAACTGAGGGAGTCGGTGAGGCCAAGGAGCTATTTCTGGCATGCTCACTCCAGACTCTTCCAGCGGGAATGAGTGAGCAAGACCAAAACACCTTTGGCACCCTACTGATGCATGAGGCCTCACATTCTGCAAGCAGAAGAACAATTACAGCCTTAAATTGCAATTCAGGTTCCTTGTGTTTGTGATGTCGAGTTGCGGTCCCGTTGGCTTTTCTTTTTCGTGCTCCGTCCTTGGCTTTTTTTAAGCGGAAAGCTGGTCCTTGGTGGGTGATAGGGCTGATGACCGTGATGTCAACGTGTGCTTTACTGCATGCCTTGGCACCTCTGGCATCTCCCGTTCTACAGAAATACAATAGCAGAGACAAACCATGGAAGAAAAGCGCCCGGCTGGGCCCCGGTTTCGGCAGGTGCAGGACTGGCGGCGGTGAGGACAGCCCTTCTACCGCCCTTCTTCGGCCGGCCTAAGGAAGCTGAAGATGCTCACCCGGCATGGACGACCTGAAGACCCAGCAGGGGATGGACGCTTCCCACCCTTGGAGGATTGGCACTTGGCACATGCACGAGAGGTTGAATCATCTACGCACGTGATGCGTAGGTTGCATGTTAAAGACACTTAGACTTAGAGAGATGAATGCATTTATATACATGTTTTATATACATTAGATACGGTTATCTATTACTGTATGTGATGTGAAATCCTTCAACTGCTTGGGAGTATACTGGTTTTTGTTTGGTAGATATGTCGTTCGGAGTGAACAGGTTTGTTCATGTTTGGTCTTTAAATCTTATAGGGTCTCGTGGTTCCTTTATGCCAAGGTGCCCAAATTGCTACTTCGAAGTTGAACGAGTTTCATCGAATTTCCATCAAAACGCCTACTACTTTGTGGTTCGGGGTTTGGTCAAGACGGTTAGGAGGCTACTTGCTGAGCCACGCGCGCCATTTGCACGTGGGATTTGCCAGGTGATCATCAGCAGAACAGAGGTTAGCACTGTAGTTGGTGTACTCCCACCATTCGTGCATAGGATGGATTGCTGCTTCAAGCCTAAGACTTAGAAAGCTCAACTGTGCCGCCCTCTTATGCATATGGTAAGACGAGAGATGGTAGTCTATCGGTCCTTACTTCTATTTTTCATGGTCCCACGGTCGGATGTTTTTGTTTTCTTTGGATGATTCTTGATCCACCTCATTCCAGGGTGACCGGCTTTGGGTCATGCTTTCCAATTACAGGGCACCCGACCAATGGAGTCATTTGTGTAGATCAACCGTGCAGGGTTCACTCTTACATCAGCGCGAACCGCTTCAGGATCTTGATTTCGATCGTATGTTTGGTCAAGATTCTAAAGACAGTTCTGGAGCCAGAATTGTATACTCTCCCTGGAACTAACTTAGAAGTGGAACACCCTTTGTTTAGTATTCGGTAAATGGTCTTCCAAGGTTCCATGTTCATCCATTTTCCACTTCCATGTGAGTTCCAGGGAGTGTATGTTCTTTCATTTCTGGTCCGTTCGGCTTGGATCTTCGATCGTCCTTCGAGTCCAGGGGATCTCACCCAGTCGAAGCGTCACAGACTTGCTGAGACCAGTGAGACGAGGCCGGCCATGAAAGCGGGTGATGCGGCGGTACCGGAAGCATGTTCAGTCCATCAGTCGATGTGTCATTCACTTATTTATATATACCCTGAACTGGCCCTGAACACCCCATTTCCACATGCACGAGTTCATTCTGGCGCTCAGATGCTCGGGTGTATCTTACTAATACTTAATTATATATCTATCTCTATATATATAACTACATCAAGAAATTTTTTAAAACAGACTCTGGATAAAAATTGACTCTGGG